CTGATCCTATTGACACCTTGTGATCACACAGGCTCGTATGCTTCTTCCATGTGGACTTTGTTTCTTCTCAGCTACATGGTCATTGTCTATCTTCAAGCCTTTAAGACCCCAGATGCTATATCTTTTGATAGTGAGACACCAGCAGCTTTCTTCACCACATTTGCTTATGTACCCACTTTGTCTTCAGCGATCATGGCAGGATGGTGCACATCGAGGAAAAGCATAATTTTTCATGCTTGGGCAGATTCCCATTTAAAAATAATATATTTCATTGTGCTTTAAGGTGAAAGTTTAGATTTCCATTCAACAATTCATACAAATTGTTCCATGATATTGGTTATAATACCCACAATGTGTCAAGACTCCCACCATCTATACTCAGCCTGCCCTGTTCCATCCATCTGGTTTCTCTGCCTCTCCTTACCGTCTCATCTTTGCTTTAAGGTAAATGTCCTCCATTTGATCCTGTATAACTGATAATGTAAAGAAGCAAATTCCTCAGGGGTATTAACTGTTTACTTTCTAGGCCGATCTATTCTTTGGCTGAAAGGTGACCTTCAGGAGAGATTTCAGTTGCAGGTTGAAGGGTCTCTTGGGCAATCACCTCCAGGTTCGGTTATTCAGCCATTCTGTTATGCATAGTAGCAATTCACCCTGATTCAAATTCGTGACTATAACCAGGGTTATAAAATATAAATGTCTGTGTATATAGAAGACTTTCTGGTATGATGGGTTAGCTATTGGAATATGTTTCTGGTTTATTTTAGAGACATTATTTTATGATAGAGAATGTTATCAATCATCCCACTGGCGTATGAGGTAATTCTGTTGTCATTACACAATTTCAATATAGTGTCATTAATTTAGCCAATGGTATAGAATTTAAAGCAATTTTGGGAAAAGGAAATTACATAAGTATAGATTGGCTTCAGATTATAATATACAAATTGACTCATACAGACTAAACTTTTAGAAGTGACTGGACACTATGTACACAAACAACGGGGGTTGGTGATACGGCAAAACTTTTAATAAGATTCATTAACAAAGGAAGAACCATGCCTACAAGATTAACACATATCATAAAAAAGCAAAACCCTAACCAAACCAAGCTCACTGTTATTGTGTCAATGTTGACTCACAGCAACCCTATAGCACAGGGCAGAACTGCCCCAAGTAGTTCTTCTTGTGATTAGTGGCCATCTGGATTTTCTTTTCTGTGACCCTGCCCATTTTCCTAATATCTGTTTTATCTTGTCAATGTATATCACTCATTTATATAAACAAACGTAAAAACCACAACTATGGTTTATCCCTAATACTTTTGCAATACAAAATTGCTTCCTTTTTATAGAGATAAAACGTAGGTTTTAAATTTCTTGTGGCTACATGTTTGGCTGCTAACTGCAAGGTCAGAAATTCAAAACCACCAGTGAGTGGCCCCCAGCCTTAGAAACTCTCAGGGGTGGGTCTACCCAGTCCTATAGGGCTGCTCTGTGTTGGAATCAACTCAATGGCAGTGAGTTTAGTTTAGGTTTGGTAGGATAGTTTACCTGACTATTGGGTTTTAAGACTTAATTATCTGAACTTTTTTTTTTCAAATTAAGGTACAAAATGGTATGATTACTAATGTACCTATAATTTTCCAGTAACACTTAATAAAATAACTTAATCCTTTTTTCAATGAACTGAAATATTACTTAATGTATTTATTTATCTGAGGCCCAGAAGCCTCACAGCCTGTACTCCAATCTTGGCTTTGCTCCTGACCAGTTTGTCTAATCTTGGGAAAGTTACTTAGCTTATAAAACATAAAATGCCCGAATCAGGAGTTTTTGTATGAGATTCTATGAGACCCGGGAGTGGAGCGAATGATTAAGCAGTAGGCCATATGATTCTGGTCTTCAGAGAAAAGATATTTAAGTTCCTGGGATGACCGGCGGTCACTAAGGAGGAAATGCCAACAACGGACTCAGTCCTGAGGCCGTGGGCTCAGTATTGAGAGGAGTCAAGAGGAGCACAGGTGACACGAGGGGTGGTGGTGAGATACAGGGAGAGCCAGAGAAGGCAGGGTGCCGAGCCAAGTCAGGAAAAGGGTTTCCACGACAGAAGTCATTTACAATGTCAAAGGAAGCTAGAAGGTCAAGTGAGAGAAGCTTAAAGTGACTAAGGGAATTAGCATGAGGAGACGATGGCAAGAGCAGCTTCCGGGAAATGACAGGGAACTCGACCGCTGGCGGGCTAGAGAATGGAATAGAGACGCTGTCCTTGAGATTCCAGCCCAACTTGCGGTGTGAGAATAATTTTTTTGAATTCCGATGATAGGACTCAAATACTAAGACACTTCTAGGATTTTATTTTGTATAAAATGATATGCAAAAATATACACATTTTTAAGTAAAAAGCTTATAATATTAATAAAACATTTTAAGGAAATAGGAGTCCATTTAACAAAACATTTTTAAATGACAGAATTTGTAGGCTCCAATTTTATTATCATACCACATATCAATTTTAAAGGATAAAATATAATTGATAATTTACATGATCATAGTATAGGAAAAAAGCAAAACAATTTTTTTCTCATCATGACAAGCAAAATGAAATGATATAGTTGATTGCAAGCCTATCTGTGCATCAGAATCCCTCCAAAACCAAATTCACTGCCATTGAGCAGATGCTGATCCTTGAGGACAAGGTAGAACTGCCGCTGTGGATTTCTGAGACTGTAACTCTTTATGAAAGTAGAAAGCCTCATTTTTTGCCCAAAGAGTGGCTGGTAGTTTCAAACTACTGACCTGTGGTTAGCATCTCAAAGCACAATCACTATGCTAACCGAGCTCCTTTGATTCCCTAGGGGCTTATTTAGAAACAAGCATCTTAGGCCCTACTGTAGGATTTGCTGAGCCCTGACAACCCCTGTGATTCTGACTGAGCTAGTTAGACCAGTAGAATGGAACCTGAAGTTGGAAGGAGAAAAGCTTTGCCACTTGCAGGAAGTCCTGAGAAACAGGATGATCTGTTGGAGGAGACACTAGACCAGCTCCCTAATTCTGTTCAAGTGTCAGACAAAAAGACAACCTGATAATCAACACACATTTGTTGAGTATCTAATATGTGGCATCGGACTAGGCAGCACAGGAACCCTCTATGATCTTGACCCCCATGGTGCTTGTGATCTCACTGGAAAACCGTCAGGGTAACAAGACCCTGACAATATCACATGTCCGTAGGTGCAACTGTATGGCGATAATATATAAAGATTATAGTAAAGTCATAGAGAATGAGAGATAGGAAAGAGAGTAAAATAAAGGAGTCAGACACATTGCATGTAGCATGCTCACCTCAGCTCTCTTGGTGGTCCAAGTGGAGATGGGAGACAAAAGGAGAGAAGGAGGGAGGAGGATTCTTTCTAACCAAGGCTTATATATACTTAAGGGTGTGCAAGCCCCTTGATTACAAGTGACCACATACATCGCAGGAAGGGGTTGTACCATAGACAATACAGCAATGGGAGGGGGATGATCTAGGGGTGTATATGCAATAGGAAGAGGAGGGATTGGGGGTAAATATGTGACAAGATGGGGGGACCCTAGACTCAAGATGGCAGTCTAACCTTGGTCGTCCTTGAGCTGGCTAGACCTTTACGCTAGGATCTCCATGGAAACAATCACTATCCTTATCAGTAGGGTGTGAGTCCCACCTAAGCTCTGGATGGCTGATGCTTTCAGGGAGGAAACTTCCAAGCAGCTTGCTTGAGTCTGCTACAATTATATACCAAGTGTTGCAAGCAGTGTCCTAGATCTGACATATATTTGGGGGAGACAAACTGGGGAAAAGCCTTTTTGTAACCCACAGAAAACTAAGTAATAAACAGACTTCACAACATCCCCATTCCATCCCTGCCTCCCCCTCACCACATATACACAGAACTTTAAAAATGAACTTCTGCACAGACTGGCTGATGAGGGCTCTTCTGGCCGCCGCTGCTCAATGGAAACAGCTCTGGTGGGTCAATCTCCAGCACACTCGGTCACTGCCGCTTCCACCCATCAGCTAACGGTCTGCTTTCCAGGAGTCATTTTAAGTCTGCTCTAAAACTGGCTAATTTTATCTTCTAGTTCCACATCAATAAATACTTGTAAACTGAAAAATATGAGAGGATGGCTTCCAAATGTTCATGGAAAAATTCCATTATCTTTCGATCTCATTTTTCTAAAAAATTTCTAAAGCCCCCTCATAAAGTACTGTGATGGTGGTATGAGGCAGGAAAATACAGTTACTTCGACTGGGTGGTCATAGGAGGCCTCTCTGAAAAAGGAATTCACCCCCAAAAGAAAAGTAGTCTGAGCAATGAAGGTGAGACTATTCCGGACTGAATGGGCAGCATGTGAAGGATTCTGAGGTACAAGAACGCAATCCAGTTAAGCTAAAGAATGTCCTGGAATGAAGTTGGAGAAGTGGTCATATTGGGTTGGTTCCTGTATTTTATTCTGAATGCAGATGAGTATCACCGGAATAAGAGTACCAGTTGCTTTTGAGTCACTCTAAGTTATGGTGACCTACTGTGTGTTAGAACAGAATTGTGCTCCTGAGGGTTTCTGTGGTAGTTACATAATCTGGTGTCAATTTGAGGATTCAGAGTGAAGGGGTGGAGTCTAGTCTGTCAATCAGGCAGTAGCTTGATGACCTCATTTGGGAGGTGCTAAGGAGATAAATAACTCGCTGGAGGTGGGACACATACTCACTCCCTGCAAGGCATCCCTGTGGAGAAGACACATGGTGAGAGGCTGATGCAGTCATACCTCTAGAGCCGGAGAGGCCTGCCAGTGCTTTTTACAATGCCTCTGGATCCACAAGACTTCCCACCCACTGGCCTGTGACCTTCCTGCGTTTGACATCATTATATGTGTTTCATGAGTCTGAAGAGGACTTTATAGATTGAGATTGGACACATTGGACTTATGGACTTGATCTGGACTGGGTTGGGATGTTTTCTCAATATTCAACTATTCTTGTATATAAAGCTCTTTCTTATACATATATGAGTATCTATGGATTTGTATCTCAAGTCTATCCAGAGTAACACAGTTTGCAACAACTGATTTTTCAGAAGTAGATCACCATGGTCTTTCTTCGAAGACACCTCTTTGTGAACTTGAACCACCAACCTTTTGGTTAGCAGCCAAGCACGCAACTGATTAGACAATATAATTCACTGAGATGTTAACTTGCATTTTGTTCTTGGATTTTTTTTTTTTGCAAATTCAAATATCCAAGTTGTGAAAACATAGAAACCATTCATATTTATATTAAAAATGAGGCAATCAATTCGCTTTATATCTAACAAAAGATGCTAAAATCGGCTAAGACTCTCATGCTTACTGATAGTGAAGCAAACGATTCTTATACTAGAAATGAAAATTGTGGTGATTGACGGACTACATACGTATGGTTGTCTTCAGAATATTCCTTTGAACTCACTGTAATAGCTCACTAATCCCCCATAATTCATATGTTAAATAGAATCTTTGATATGTTCATTTTGTACTTTTAAATGAGCCATGTTTTTATCTTTTTATACACACATTACATTGTGTTTATTATAAAGTTACTTCTAAATTATTTAACAGAGAAAAATAGCTCTTTCATAATTCTATATTTCCTATATAATATTTCCTGAATGTAGAGTTCAGAGCAAGACGAGATTATTGAGGTTCAATCATTCCAGTGTTTGTCAGTTTCTGTCACGCATATAACCATGAAAACATTTACCTTTGGTGCACCATCCTTTTGTATCCCCACATCGTTTGTGGCAATCCCCTTTACACTGCCATCTTCATGAAAAAGAACCTAAAATTGACATAATAGATTATTTATCATTTTAGGATGCATAATAACCTTAGGGGGAAAAACAGTGAACAGCCATGGATTTTAAAAAATGAACATGCATTTTATACTATAGTAAAACAGACTTTAAAATGTCTAAAGAGACATGCTTTGAAGGCCCTCCCTTCTATAGGAAGAAATGGGAAAGGCTACAACTAGACGCTGGAGTCACTGGGTGATGCAATTGGTTCAAGCACTTGGCTGCTGAGATTTTGGGAAGCTGAGTCCACTCAGAGGCATCTGTGAAGGAAGGTGTGGAAAACAATCTATTTCTGACACTTCAGCCACTGAAGAGCCTGTGCAGCCCAGCTCTAGTTTAACACATGACTTCACCCTGAGTCTGAACCAAATTAAAGGCAATTCATTTTTTTAAAAATTATTTTATTATGGGCTCATACAAGTCTTATCACAATCCATACATACATCAATTGTGTAAAGCACATTTGTACACTCCTTGGCCTCATCATTCTCAAAACTTATGCTCTCCACTTAAGCCCCTGGCATCAGCTTATTTTTTACCCTCCTTCCCTCCCCACTCCCTCCTCCATGAACCCTTGATAATTTATAATTTATTATTTTGTCATATCTTGCACTGTTGTCTCCTCTCACCCACCCCCATGTTGTCCCTCCCCCAGGGAGGAGGCCATATGCAGATCCCTATAATTGGTTCCCCCCTTCCACCCCACCCTCCAGGTATCACCACTCTCACTACTGGTCCTGAAGGGATCATCCGCCCTGGATTCCCTGTTTCCAGTTCCCACCTGTACCAGTCAGTGCACATCCTATGGTCCAGCCATATTTTTAAGGTAGAATTGGGATCATGATAGTGGGTGGGATGGAAGCATTTAGGAACTAGAGGAAAGTTGTATGTTTCATCGTTGCTATACTGCACCCTGACTGGCTTATCTCCTCCCCGTGGCCCTTCTATAAGGGGATGTCCAATTGCCTA